GATCATTTTTCAATGCTGTATGTGTGGTATGCTTAGGTGTGGTCCAGATGGAAACCTCTCGAATCGGGCATGCCGTTTGTGAGGTTCTCTTGGTTTGGCTGGGTTCCACAGCGAAAAGTCAAGAATCAATCTGAATACTAACAGTGACATGCAAATGTTGGTTTCCTCTGCATATTTTAACTTTACAAAAAGGCAAACTGAAAATAATGGAACAGAAATCGTTTTGATTCACATACAGTAATTTGTTGGCAATATCAGCCAACGTTAATGCATTACTTCTGCTGGATCTTATCATAATGACTTGACACAAGTAGCTTGCCTAGTGAACTTCCGCAGAAATAAGAAGAAATCAATTCTCTGTATCCTTCAGAGGCAACACAGAGCTTTATGCTCTCCTTCTTAGCTCAACCAAAATGTCAAATAGGCAAGTTGTTAAGAAATAAAGTAATTTATTTTAGATAGAAGAGAATTAAAATACATGTATATTATTTATATTTCTCTAGTTATGCTAAAGTGACATTCTTGGAATGACACTTCTAGGATGTCACTTTTGGAAATGGCATTTTTCATGGTAATAGAGAGATTCATTAAAAGATAAAAATGATTTTGTTTAAAAAAAGCAGGAGAAAAACAGAAAACGAAATACTTGTCCCTATTACCTTCTGCCTCCTGCTGTTTTATATTACTTCTAGCTGCATTTACATATGTATCTCATATCCATACTGTATATTGTTTTCTATTTTTAATTAATTTTTTTGTATTTCTTCTATCTGGTGTCCTGCTACCACCTCTGACTTACTTCGAATTTACTCAAAACCCAAATTTATTATTTTCTACTCCAAATCACCTTGTTTAGAGGCCTCTTTGATGTTTTTAATGACAATAAACAGAAAAGAAGTCTCACTTCCACCAAGTTGAAGGCAATCCTAACATACATACGATGAAGACAGAATGATATTTTTGAAACCCAACAGACACTGTTGCCTGTTGAGGGGACAGAGGCTTGAACTAGGTCTCTTTGTTAGACAGGGGGGTATTGAGGGTGAGAGATGTTAGAGATGGACCAGCAATGCTGAGACTTGATAAAGCCAGAATCTGTGAGAAGGCAGACAGCACACTCACTTAATAAGTGAGTCCACACTTTTTAAAGGCTTATTTCTGTGCTACCTGGATTCTGCCTCACTTCATCTGCTTCTGACCTTTAAAATACTACCCAGGCTTTAAGACAAATTCTTATGCTTCTTCCTCTGTGAAGCCTCTTCCGTTCCTAAGGCAGGTGGTTCTCAACTGGGTAAATTGCCCGCCCACCCCCCCACCTTTGGTTATCACAGCTGGGGTGGAAAGTGCTACTGGTCCCTAGTGGTAGAGGCCCTGGGATGTTGCTACACATCCTACAGGATACAGGTCAGCCCCCAACAAAGAATAATTATCCAACTTAAAATGTCAGTAGTGCGGAGATTGAGAAGCCTTGCTTCAGGAGAATGTAATGTCTTTGTACACTTTCCTTTTTTTGTCATGGCTTTTTGTAGAATACCTGCTTGGGTATTTGTTTAATTTCTTTCATTAGAGTATAAACTCCTTGAGGGAAGGAAGCATATATACTTATCTTTTTCTCCTCAGTGTTTAAACACTCAAGAATGATGATTAAGAGAAACAAATGCATAATAGAGCTTGTAGTAAAAAACTATTTAGCAGTAGTGTAATTTAATATTTAAAAACATCAAACTCAGGGAATATTTTATTTCTCAGTTTTGTTCAGTTATAGAATCTCGAGGTTGGAAAAGACCTAAAAAAGTAATCTAGTCCAACTGCTCTTCGTTACCAAGGGACTTCTTCTGATTTCCTAAATACTGAAATTGAAATTCAGTTGCAATCGTCCTCAGTTGCCAGACTGTGAAATTGGTATTTCCTCATTTAGACATTATCAGAATATATGGTGGCCCTCTGTGCATAGATATATACTGTGTGTGTGAATTCATTAAGAATATTAATTGCAGAAAAAGGTACTAGATGGTCTTTATATTCCTTTCAACCCTGAGAATCAGTGATTTAAACTGCTAGCTTTACTAACATATTTACTTACTATATAAGGCAAAAAGAGAGTACACAATATGATTCTTCTGCATAAATATTTGGTTTATGAATTTCTCATTAACCCAGGGGTATTCAATCTTCTACATCTAATAAATTCCTACCCATTAATTACTTAATGCCAAGGACACCTTTGATTTTTACTTAATGATTAGTACATTCTAATTGCAACCCTTCTGTTGAATTCTTGCAGAACTTTCCCCCAATATTATTAGTTGTCTACCTTATCATGACCTTAAGGACAAAAAAGGTTATATCTTTTTTTTATTATTATTTTTAAAAATTTTAAAATTTATTCTGTTATGTTAATCACCATACATTACATCATTAGTTTTGGATGTAGTTAGTGTTCCATGATTCATTGTTTGTATATAACACCCAGTGCTCCATTCAATACGTGCCCTCTTTAATACCCATCACCAGTGTAACCCATCCCCCACCCCTCCCCTCTAGAACCCTCAGTTTGTTTCTCAGAGTCCATAGAAAAAAGATTATATCTTAAAAAAAAAATCCTACCATGTACCTAGTATAGTGGAAAGCTCACACACAGCAGACAACGTCTGTCAGTGGTGGAACTGGAGTTCTCAGATACTTGAAAGTTAAAAAGAACACTTTTTACTCATATACGGAATCCTGTAGGTAACTTTTAAACAGCTCAGGAAAGAAATATCAAGCTCAGTGGACATTTCAATTAATAAGATGGAAAGATGAGATTCAAAAACATTATGGAAGACAAAGGCATGTGAAGAGCAAATTGTAAATGGGTACATTTTAACTAAAAGGTACTGACATTTCATTAAACAAAACGATATTACTATTGATAGAAAATCATAAGGAAAAATATTATCATGTACTGGCATTTTTGGAAAGAACTTTTACTAGCAATAGTCGAATTAAAACATTGTTTATAAGTTATGGCTAAAGATTATTTTACCCCTCTTAAAATATAATTAATTGTTACTCAGATGCAGAAAAAGTGACTTCTAGACCCAGCTTTGTACTAATTGCCAGTGTAACTTTGGACAGATCACTTAATCCTACTGGAATTCCTTTTTCATTTTAGAAATTTATGAGAGCTGGACAGTTTGTTTCTAAGATTGCTTCCAGCTTTAATCTTATATTTGTCTGAAGATTTGTAGTTAAAACTTCTTTCCCATATATTATATCATTTTATCATCTCGACAGCTTTGGAAGGAAAGTGTAGAAAGCATTATTATTTTCCTTTTACTAATGATAAAATAGGCTCAAGCTGTTACCCAAGCCTGGTAGGTAGCAACCCAGTACTGTTTCTAAGATAACTCCCCAAAATTCTATTTCTGAGAGTATGTATACAGTTAATCTTTTAAAATGTCTTATTCTTATCTATTTCAAAATTAACTTTCAAAAAAGTAGACTCTCAAGGATAAATGTAAGCGTCATAATGTTAAAAAGGTATAAACATTTACATCTGATGGTTTGAGCCAGGGATAGCCAATAAGATTCAATGCACGTATCAACTCCTATTGATTGCTAGTAGCTGCCTGAAGTGTTATGCTGAGAATAATTTTGAGGCCAAGTTTGGGCTCAGTGGGAAAGTGTGCCATGTTAGATTAACCAGGAACATTGTGGATGATGGAGAGGGGAGTGGTGGCAGAACTACTTATGGGGGAGAGTCTTTTAAAGAAATGACTTCAGTATTTAGTAATGTTTTATGAAGGGTCTGATATTGACTTGCCTTATATTGAGTTTTGTAACTAGTATTATCAGAAAAGTTTAATTGATTTGTATCATGCATGTTTTCATAAGTAATGGTTTCTTTTTCAAGTTAAAAGAGTGTCCTTAAAGTTAGTTTGAGTATTTCTATTTGTAACCATCACTGTGAAAGAATGTAGAGGTTGCTTCTAGTTTTAATGAAATGCAACTTTGCAGCTTGATCTGAAAACTTGAGAGCATTAAGTGTACTTTATATAGATATATACACACATATGCACATCAACATGTTTATTATATAGATATTTATTATATAAATTTGCATGTATTATATTTGGTATATATATTTGGTATTATATTATATATGGTATTAACATAATAATACCACAGTTGTAGTTTATGTAATAAATACATATTATGAGTTGTAAAAACGAATAGTCTCTGGATTATTCAATATAAACATTTGTTAAACCACTCCAAAAAAGGTTAAAGACGTTGTGAATCAGTGGCTGCCATTTATTAACCGCCTGATGGTTGCTCTTCATCTTTCACAGTGATACATGCTTTATATCCTCTTTACCCACTAAGCTCTACAGTACTTTTTAAAAGTTAGGCTTGATTATTTCCTTTCAAGCAATGAAAACCTAAACCTTAGGGAAATTTAGTAATCCTCCAAGATACGGCTGAGAATGTTGTAAAGCCAGAATTTAGGCCAACTTTTGTCAGGTTTCAAAGTCTGTAACAAAATCAGATCGTGCCTAGCTGAAATTTGAAGGTTCAGATGTTTCCCACTGGTGGTCTATATTCTACATATATCTGAGGACAACTTTTGGATTTTAGTTTCACTGTCTTAACTTGTACACCATTAGAGGAGAAAATGGGGGCATACCAAAAAGCAGAACTGTTACTCTCCAGTATTTGCCAGTGGGATGCCAATGAGTTCTTTTTCTGTGAAGTGTAATGTTTTGTGTAATAAACACTGGTCTGGGTTTAGAGAATTTACTTTAAATTGAGATAAAAAATGTCCCTGAATAATTTTTATCATAGGGGAAGTGTATATGAATTATACTTTCATGCTATTCATGCACTTAAGTTTGGTTCAGAAAACAGTACCTTGTGATTTGGCAAAATATATTATTTTATCAGCAGAAGCATGTAAAATGGTCATAACTTAACTGAAGCCATAAATGTAATTGAGAATGTCATTTTCTTTTTTCCAGATTCCTTGGTGTTACTCAGTTTTCGCCTACACATGCCAGAAAGGCATTTCCTTGTTTTGATGAGCCAATCTACAAGGCTACTTTCAAAATTAGCATCAAGCATCAAGCAACCTATTTATCTTTATCCAATATGCCAGTGGAAACTTCTGTGTTTGAGGAAGATGGATGGGTTACGGATCACTTTTCACAGACCCCTCTCATGTCTACATATTATTTAGCCTGGGCAATCTGCAACTTCACATACAGAGAAACTACCACCAAGAGTGGGGTTGCAGTAAGTATTTTAAACTTAAATATGTTTTTAGATAATATACACACTGTATAGTAATCTGATATCTGGATTAACACTGAATCATTTTTATCCTCTTCAGGTCTTATATAGCTAAATTCTTTTGTTAACCCTTGGGGGGTGGGAAATTATCTTCCTGGTTTCTAGAGTCAAAGAGGACTGTCTTTTCCATACCCAGCCTTCTTGTCCCTTTCGCCACCTCCCCCACCCCCACCCCCACCATTTCTGTCCCTCTTCATCTTCTGAGTATTTCTGAAACAACTGTTGTCTGCTTTGGGAAATTGCTTTTTATTTATATGACTGGGAAAGCTGCTTCTTTTTATTGTGAAATATTTCAAATATCCAGAAAATGTAAAGAATAATATAATAAACTTCACAAGCCTACTAGCCAGCTCTAGAGAATCTAAACGTTTTATCATCTTTGCTCTAGTCTAATTTAGTTTTTGAGAAAGTAAAACATATTGGATAGAGTTGAAGCCCTCTGTGTGCACCTGCCTGATCTCATTGCCTTGCCTCCTCCTTTAGAGATAACTACTGTCCTGAGTTTGATGTTTGCTATTTCTATGCATATTATCACACAATTATCAAGTATGTGTATATATATATTTCTACAATAGATGCCATGCTTTAAAATTTCATGTAAGTGGTTTGTATTATAGATATCATTCTGTAAGTTATTTTTATTTCATTTTAATTTTTGATTAAAATTACGTTTTTGTGGTTTATCTGAATAGAATGGGTTGAGTGAAGATATCAGAATCTGTCATCCTCCTATAAATAAACATTTTAATTTTTCTGATTAACAACAACGCTCAGTGAACATTTTTGTCCATGAGTTCTGCCAATGTGCTAGAATTTCTCTAGGGTTGTAAAGCTTCTTTTAGCCCGTAACACCCAAGTGTATAGAAATATGTTTTTAGGGGAACATGACATATGGGAAGCCTAAAGAAGTCATGCTCTGCATTTAATTTATTATAAGAGTCAATTGGACTTTCTGTGATAACTATCATTTGTGACAGCAAGGTTCTTTTTTTTTTTTTTTGCAAGAGTGACAGCAAGGTTCTAAGCATTTTTTGCATGCTATTGTATTGCACTAGTCAGGCTAGGTCAGGCCATGCTGAGTTAACAACTTCCTCCTCATTTCAATGGCTTACACAATAAATATGCATCTATTTTAATTTTTATGTTGCCCCTAAAGCAAGGTATTATGATTCTGTTTTTTCCAGATGAATAAATTAAATTGAGGTTTAAAGACCCAGAGTCAAAAAGTAAACAAGTGGTAGAGCTGCAAGACAAACTTTTATTGGTCTGATCCCAAATTTTGGGCTTTCCTGCCATGTGCCCTGGGAACTCTGTTTCGTCTTTTCAGCTGTATGTCTGTAAAAGAATTCAAGTAATGATTCTCCCTATCTGGTGGAAATTGTATTCGAACGCAACAAAAGGAGTTAATAGAAACCTATATTCTTGTTCTGTAGAAAGTTCATAGGTGTATAACAACCTAAATTTTGAAAAATAGGTTTGGATAAATAAATTTTCTCAGTGTTACTTTCAATTTAAATCACTGTGGAGCCTATTTAAAAAGTAAAATCTGCCTCCATAAAAAATTAATGCCATTATTGAAGAGCTGTGTATAGTGAATTCATCTACATAGTCATTAAAATTAGGTCCTAAATGCTGGCTTTAGAGGGCCAGAAGACATTTTGCTCTTCTGGACTTGTACTCATTTGATATGTTGAGTTCCTCTGATGTTTGTTGATGTCTCCTATGGATACTTGAAGGCTGTACATGTTGGACGACACACAGAAAAGGAACACCAAGACATCTCATTTACCTTGACGTCTTCAAAAGTTGATGGCTGGCTTGCTGTGCATCAGCTTGCAGCATAGGGCACACTGGAACTGTTTTTTCTAGTATGTTTTCTTTAAAGCATCTTAAAAGTGTTCTCAGCCCTAAACAATTAAGCTTGTTGCTAAGTGACCCATATTTAAAACCAGACACACTCTAATTATTTAAGATGTGACTTTTATTAGAGTTAAGAATCCAAGTAATTAGTAAACATTTTAAAATTCCTGCTTAATAATTTTTATGTAGAAAGATACAACATGCTACCAGAGAACGTCAAAAGGTCAACAGAAATAAAATTTTAGATTGTATAATCTAAAAATGCTAAGGATAATAAAAAGGAAAACAAAATTGCCCCTGGGAGCCCTTATTTATCAACTGTGGAAATACACTTTAAAACCTGGCTCTTGTTTTTTGGTCACCCCTTGGATATCCCATCTATTTTTATTTTCATTGCATTTCATTTGCATTTATTACTGGAGAGGAGGACACGGGAATCACATTTCTGAACTCTTAACAGCTGAAGGGAGTGGAAGTTTAGCTTTAGGATCTTGGGGTGGGACAGTCATGTGAAATCCAGGTGGTCATTTTGGATCAGAAGCTGATGCGGTTTTCTTTGAGATATGAGAGTATCACTAGAGTAGCATCTTAATAATTTACAGCTGAATCGTAACAGTGCCTCAAGGGTGTGTATTTGAAGCATCATCATTTACTTCTCAAGTTTTCTACACTTTGCAAGGCACTATTCTAAGTAATTAGAAAGGTAAAAAACTTTAAGTCCTTCTAGTAGAGTGATTGCATGTGCATCTTTCCAATGGAATCCAAGCTGGTAGACATATTTTGTTTACCCATCCCTAAAAGGCTTAATATTTTTGTAATTAATGGTCAATATTTAGAAATTGAGAGATTGCACATAAAATTATTTATTTCTGGCTTCTCTTGAAAAATGGGAAGATCTTGGGTTCACATTCCCACTTGGCAATAATTGTTCACTCATTTATTCCTTCAGCAAATATTTATTGATTGAGTGTCAGGTATTGTTCTGGGCTCTGGTGATATAGCAGCAAACAAAGCAACAAGGTTTCTATTCTCAGGGAACTTACATTCTAATGAGGAGAGAGTGACAATAAACAAATAAATGTATATCAGGTGGTAATATTTGCCATGAAGAAAATCAGTGTGCTGTAGCTGGATGGTGACTAACCCATTTATATGAAGAATTTGCTTCCTAGTGTAACCTAATTCAGACCACTTTTTTCTTTTGCACCATGTCAACTTCACTGTTGTGTATTACTTGCTTTCTTTCTGTAAGTGTTTGGATTTTCAACCCTTGTCTAGGGACATAATTCAAGAGGGTAGCCAAGGAATATGCATCAGAAAAGCAATGAATTCACTAATTGTGTCTTAGTGATACTGGCATTCACTAATTGTGAAATGAAAGTTTTAGAAAATCAAGACTGTTTAGAAGAGGGAGATATTGCTAAGGCTGGAGTCTAATGATATGCTTCATGGAGGAGATGGGACTTAATATGACACTGAATGATGGTTTGGTCTTAGAAAAGCAGATGATGTGTACATATAATCCTTGGTGGGAAATGTTACTAAGAAAAGACAAAGAGTTGGGATATCTACAGGATATCTGTGGGATATAGTGTATGGTTATTATGATCATAAACATCATCACTTCTGCTGCATTCTAGTGGTTACAAGTAAGTCACTAAGGATGGTTCTCATTTGCTGGAGGAGGGCATATATCCCACCTCTTGATAGGGAGTGTCAGAGAATTTGTGGACATGTTTTCAAATCAGTACATCTTCTCTCGGGCCACAAATTATTTACATTCATCTCATGTACAAAATATACTCACCAGTAGGTCTCACTGCATTATAACATCAGATTGAAGTCTGAGATCCAGGATCTCACCATCAAATTTAGGTCTTGGTGTCGATGAGACTATTTGGGTTTTGTTTCTTGAATATGGTTTCTCTTGCTCTGAAGACCTGTTATCTATCTTCTCTCCCCCAATAGACAATGGCGAGATGAGAATATGATTGTTTCAATAGGATTTTCCATTCAAGAATGGAGAAAATGGGAGGACATAGCAGTCACTGGCCCTTAGCAGTTCTGAAATCCAACTGGGCACATGTTGGCAATTTTAAAATTATGAGTTAGTGCTGTTCCCTGTGAGTTGTCCTTCCTGGTACTTGGCCCCATCATTTGGCCTCTTAGTTTTGTCTTTTAACACATCTTATCTTTTGTAATTAAAAATTAGTTTGTGTCTGCAATTCAATAGCTTTCTCAGCTTGCTTCCTGTCAATAAAAAATTAGGGGTCCAAAGGCTTATTTATTTATTTATTTTGTATTGACTCTTTTGCTTTAAGTCAAAACAGGTATAATTTTTTTTTTAAAAGATCTTATTTATTAATTTAAGAGTGAGCAAGTGAGAGAGAGAGAGAGCACGATTGGGGTGAGAGGCAGAAGGAGAAGCAGACTCCCCACTGATCAGGGAACCTGACTTGGGACTCGATCCTAGGACTCCAGAATCATGACCTGAGCCAAAGGCAGACACTTAACTGACTGAGATGCTAACCCAGGAGCACCCAGGTATAATTATTTTTTTAAAAAACTTGACCTTTTTGTGTATCAAGTTATATCCATTCCATTAGACAAAACTAAATCATGGGTCTCTTTAATATGAGCCTTTGTCTACTGTGAGGCTTTGTAAAGTAATGCTCATAACACTCTTAGATGCTCTGTTACTGAACAGAGAAGGTTTATAAGGCACCACCTTAATGTCTTTAGAAAACCTCTTGTCTGTTTGAAAGGTTTGAAGGGCATCATTTTAAAAGTGTCTGAAGTCTTAACAGTTTCTGAAGTTGAGTCCTTGGCTTCATCTTTAGATTATCTTTTCCTGATAGTGACCTATATTTTTCCTCCCTGAGTCCAGTTTCTTACTTTGAGAATCTCTTGCCTTCTGGAGAGGCTGAGAAGGAGAAGAATTTAATTTCAAGCTCAGTAAGTCCTATTCCAAATTTTGCTTGGAAACTGGACAGTTTGTTCTTAAATTCATCTCTCCTGTTTTGGATTTTTTATGGTCAGAGAGAAGGTGTTGGTGTCACTTTCCCTATTCTACTTGAAAGTCT